CTTTTACCCAGTACTTTTACTTTTAATACTTAAGTAGATTTTGTGTCGGAAATTTACTTTTGATACTTAAGTACAAAAATTATCAGATACTTTAAGACTTTTACTCAAGTAATATTTTTAGAGAAGACTTTAACTTTTACCAAAGTATTTTTATGATAAGATACTTGTACTTTTACTCAAGCATCACTTTGAGGTACTTTATACAACACTGATTAAGGCGTAGTTGTATAATTTGTACTTAACTAAGACAAAGTCCTCCTGATGGGCCTTAACTCACCTGAGCCAACAGACTTTGCCCTCTGGTACAGTGTTCATAGAAATAATGTAGCTTTACCATCACAGAACACAACATCTCTCAGAAAAAAAAAATCCCAAGAAACAAATTTACTGTAAACTTAACATTAACAGAAGCAGACATACAGGGTAACACACAGGAGGTCGGCACCTCGGAGCAACAATGGCGACACGCTGTGGAAGTGGCACGAGGTTATGGAACTGTGCCAACGTTGAGCTGGTTCCCCAGGAAGAATCGTAGTGACGGTACCARACAGGATCATGCAAATCCTCCTGCTTTAGGCTTAGTTCAGAACCACCACTTTATGTGCATCTAAAAAGAAGGAAACTCTAAGCAGTGATTTTTATTTGTACGATACATTTGAGCTCACTATACGTCTTGCATCATTGTTGCGTAGAAGTTTTGCAGTGATAAAAAAAACTCCAACACGCAGTTTGCATTTGAAAGCAGTTGTTTGTGTGTATTCTGCAAAGCTCAAAAGGTTTATTCGAGTTATGAGGAAGGATGCGAGATAAACTGTGTTGATTTTCAGACAGGAAATTGTGTATAATTTGGGAAAATGACACCGAGTTGTGAGGCTTCGCTACTACACGATGCACAATCCTGCTGAACGCAGGGGCAAAAAAATAAAAAATAAAAACACACATTCAGAGAAATGTCAGGCCCTCTTCTCTTCGCCTCACTGTCTCTGTTCATCAATCACTTTATCTCTGACTCAGCCCCTCCTACGTTCCTCTCATCMCCCCCTCTCTCAGGAAAACACTATGGATCACACAGACAGAACTATTTATAGACCAGGATTCCCACGGGAGTCCCTCACCCCTCTGGGTATCCATGGATTTAGAGGAAAAGCTCCCTGTTTACTCACCGCGGCTTGAGTCTGCACATTCAGTCACAAGTGAAATGTGAGCAGAACAAATGTCAAATCAATGTGCAAGAGTAGAGAGAAAAACAAAAACGTGACATCAGCATAAATTCAGGGACCAGCT